ACTTGGCATTTCATTGCCGGTGTATAACATGATTAGCCTACGTAAGAAGGATTTTTGTAGATTGAAATCTCGAGCAGAAGATTTTATGCAATTTTTAAACCTACTCTGGCGCGTTGGTATGCTATACCTGCTTTAATGTAATTACATGAAGAGGAAAAAGGCACAGTTTGAAAAAATATTGCCAACGTTTCGCTGATCAAAGCCTTATCAGTTGATGGTAAAAATCTTAACCAAAAATTTTGCACAACTTTTGCATACTTACAAGAGCGAAAACATGAGGTATTGCGTTGGTGACGAACTACTTTCTTTGCCTTTTTACAATTACCATGTCGAAAACACTTGACATTTCATTGCCGGTGTATAACATGATTAGCCTACGTAAAAAGGAGTTTTGGAGATTGAAATCTCGAGCAGAAGATTTTATATAATACTTCTTATTCATTGTTGGCACCATCATTATCAAATTAACATGACTGAAATCTATGTTTGTTAAATTATCTAGGAATCTGTACTACACCGCCTACGAAATGGCCTATAAAAGTGTGGCAAAATATCGCACAATTTATGTGTGTAAATATGGTTACAAGGAAGTTAGTGGCGAATGTGAACGTACGTATATACTGAATATGTTATGTTCGGTATGTTTACAATGGAAACTCCGAAGAAATTCATATTTTTAATTTAACGTTTCGACTATACTGTTGAGTCACCATCAGGAATTATGAAATCTACTAAAAAAAACGAACTTTTTTAAGACTATATTCTTATCCTACGTTTCGGAGCATGCCCCTTTATCAAAGATAAATAACAGAGTTTGATGTACATGCTTTTATATCCTATTCAATTCATTAACATAAATTACCCCAAATCCCTTACATTTAATCCCTTAGGTGCAAACGTGTCCAAATTATATGCCCAAAATGCCTCTCTTTGCATAGGATCATTCATATTTGTTTTGTCAATAATAATAACTCTGAGATCTGCCAAGCCCTCGTGTTCCTCGCCAAAAAAATGCGCATACAAGTGCTCGCCAGCCATATGCCTGATCCCTTGCCCATATTTCCTAAGAGAACTCTTATGGTTGTTAAACCTCTTCCTAAAAGTTGTTATAGTACTACCAACATAAACCTTAAAAACACCTAGCACACTTAAGTAAATAAATCACCCCTATCGAATCACAATCGAAGGAATAATTTATCAAGTAAGTATGCCCGGTAATTTATCCAGTAAGTAATTTATCCGGAATAATTTATCCAGTAAGTAATGACAGAAGAGCTTTCCTGTTTCACAGGAAAGAAAAAGATTTAAAGTCAAATATGTTGCCTTTGGTTTTGAATTTCCACCCTCCATTTAAGTTGCCAGATGTATGTGCTCAGCTCTGTCGCATTTCTATACTTGCTTACTCTGAATGAGCTAGTGTGGCAATAATATCTGTATTTATGTCCGACATAAGATTCCTTAGAGTCAAAGGTCAAGTACTCCATAAACTGGCGTATTATTAAGCAATGCAATAGCTACAACAACACAACACAACGAAACGCTGCAGTCTTTGTACATATGAAAAATTCATCATAATCTACCACCCTGAAGTTTGTTCTTTAAAAGTGAACTTTTGTCGAAATGCAGAAATAGAAACAAATTTCTCTTAAGCAATATACATTACTTAATATAATCTGTATGTATATGTAATCTATACGTAATTTGATACTTGAACATTCCGTTTACGTCAAACATGTATATAGTATATATAACCTTGGCAACAACATAGCGCGACATTTAAATTCACCTGATGAGTGTGGCAAGCATTGCTTGTCATACGAAACAAGTTTGTAGTGAATAAATCTTATGGAGTAAACCAGGTTTATATATATATATATATATATATATATACGGTTTATATATATATATATATATACGGTATATATATATATACCGTATATATATACCGTATATATTAACCGTTGACGACAACTTCATTTTGTAAACCTATGTCGACAATTTCATATTATTCTTATGAAACTGGTTTTTCGTATATCTCAGGATGGTTCTGAAATAGAATTCAAAACCTCATTAATAATTCATGAACCAATTATCCAATCTTGAGTAAGAAATTAGTCAGCTAAAGAACACTTTAACAAAAGACCATTGTTATGAAACTATATAAAGATTTTTATATAAAGATTTTTATATAAAGATTTTTATATAGAGATTTTTATATAAAGTTTTTTATGTAAAGATTTGACTTATTATGTATACGTTTTTGAAGCCATTTAAAAAACTCGCAGATCGTGTTTTATTAGGTCTAAAGCCACTCGCGCTGCGCGCTCGTGGCTTTAAACCTAATAAAACACTCCTGCTCGTTTTTTTAATAATACTTGAAACACTGCGCGTTGTCTAAGACAAGCGTTAAGTCGCCGCGAAAATATTTCGTGCACTTAAATCGCTACCAATCCTCGTTGACTAGCTTGATAGTTCAATGGGTAGAGCGGCGGTTTAGACACCCGAAGATGCGAGTTCAAATCCCGTTCGAGTCAACAAGTTTTTCGTTGGTCTAATGCAGTGTCAGAATAATATGAAACTGCTTTAAATTTTCTTTCAAACAGCATGATCATTAAAATTGCTCAAATAGTTATTGTGTATGCAATGGAAATAATTAATGCAATGGCATCAATTGTTATGTGTTTTTTCCTATTCAGCTGATTGTGGTACCGGATGCGATAATGGCGGAAGCTGTACAGGACCTGGAACATGTAGCTGCAGAAGTGGTTGGACTGGAAACAAATGTCAATCAGGTAACATGCGTTGCCTGGGTTTCGTTTGCGCAATTGTTAGAGCAAGCGTCTTTTCAGGGATTTTGTCATTGCATTTCAGAGCAAGTGCCTTTCATCACTGGGAACGTGGATTCGGTTCGCGCCGCGTACACATAACACTCATGTGAAAAGAGTTAGTCAACGCTCTACCAATAGTCATGGGTTTTCTTCGGGTACTCGGGTTGCCCCACAGGGGATGTTGAAAGAGAGGGATGGGATAGGCCTCAAGTAGACCCTATATTAACGTAGTTATGCTCCGTGGTCAAACGTGGATGAAAAAGCGGCTACAAGGCGGCTGCTGGAACCAGGGCCTTTTTTAACATACAAGCTGGGGGGGCATTTGCCCCCCCAGTCCCCCCTTGTGCCCCCCCACGAAATCACATTTTGCCCCCCCAGGAAAAGTCCCTTTTTCCTAAATTTATACCAACAAAACAGCGAAGAATAACAAATAAATAAACGGAAAGTAAGTTTTAGGCTTTATCCTTTGTCCTTGTTTAACAAAATCGATCTAAATTGTTACGTTTTTCTACCACTAAGTAATGATAAATTATTGTTAATAATTTTTTATTTTTTGGTTGCTCAGAATGCAGGAAAGAGCATTTCCAGGTTTCAAATTTGAAAATTTTCTGGAGATTATGCCCCCACACACGTGGCCTTCGGCCATTGGTATCCCCCTCTAATAAGTATAATGATAAATTACGGTTAATATTCTTTTTTACTTTTTGTGCATTTTTCCCTTCTTTTATTTCAAATACAAGTATAGTTAGCATAAATTTTAGAGCAAATTTGGATGCTCAGAATGCAGGAAATGGCATTTCCGTGTTTCAAATTTCAAAAATTTTCTGGGGGAGTACACCCCCATACACGTGACCATTGGGATCCTCCTCTAATAAGTAATGATAAATTATGGTTAAATTTTTTAACTTTTTGTGGGTTTTTTCCTTCTTTTATTTTAAATACAAGCATAGTTACTATACATTTTGGAGCGCATTTGGGTGCTCAGAATGCAGGAAATGGCATTTCTGTGCTTCAAATTTCAAAAATTTTCTGGGGGAGTACACCCCCCCCCCCCATTCATGCGTGCATGGTATGTTCGGCGCACACGTGGCCTTCAGCCATTGCTATCTCCCTGTAATATATTATCTCACAGAAAGGTCCCTTTTCAAAAAATGCCCCCCCCCTCCCCACGGGAAAATCCTTAAAAAAGGCCCTGCATGAACTTACGGTTACAGCTCAACAGCTGGCCTCTGTAGTTCAGCTGGGTAGAGCGCTGCACCGGAATTGCAGGGCCGTGGGTTCAATTCCTACCAGAGGACTTTGTGCTGCATTTTTCGCAGTTGTTCCTGGTTAGGTCTTAAAATGTATATATTCTCACTTGGATCACAAACCCTGACATCCTAATATTAATTCCACCAAGTGAAGTGCAGAATCTAAGTTATTCAAGTCCACCTTATCACAACCCGCACACCCGATTACCTATATATACATGAACTTACGGTTACAGCTCAACAGCTGGCCTCTGTAGCTCAGTTGGTTAGAGCGCTGCACCGGAATCGCAGGGCCGTGGGTTCAATTCCTACCAGAGGACCTTGTGCTGCATTTTTCGCAGTCGTTCCTGGTTAGGTCTTAAAATGTATTTGTTCTCACTTGGATCACAAACCCTGACATCCTAATATTAATTCCACCAAGTGAAGTGCAGAATCTAAGTTATTCAAGTCCACAGAGTAGTCACTCCTTACAATCGAAGTGTGAAGTGCGGAAGTGGAAACATGTAATATGAGATTTTTCCCTCACCCTCTTAGGCTATCCATTTTCTATGGGTCACGTGACCAGCTCCGATCAGGGTCTTTTCTCCACAAGAGGGAAGAGCCTGGGAACGAGGTTGACGGCATTTAATGATATTTAAGACTATGTTCGCACAATATCGGACGAATACGCAAAGTCGTTCAGTTCCATTTGTTACACAGGAATTCCTAGGGTTAGCTGTGTTTGAATTTGCCCAGTTTCATGTGTCCCATGTGAACGCATAAGGTGATAGTCGTGAAATTGTGAGTATGGTTCAGAATTCGTCCAATCTAGTGTGAAGAAGGGTCGATTGGGTCATAATCATACCGATCATGTCCAAAAGTATATAAATATTTTAGAAACTATTAAATATTAGTTATTAAAATTTAATCATTAATTTTGTTCAATTTTAAGGTGGTAATTATAAACATTCCAACGCGTCATTTTTATTCTCCCTACGCAACAAAGACAACTTTGCTCCATTTATTGCCAACATCAAGCAAGGTCAGGAGCAGTATGCAATCTACTGTTTGTCTGGTTATGGACCAGTCTTTGGTGGAGGTAATGATCTGGTCATTTGTAACAATCCTCAAGTTGATCAATCATGCAGCAATTTTGGACACACATATCAACTTCCCCCTGGTTATGTCTATGGAAGTGAACAAGCAAAGAACCTTCTTACTGGTCAGCACCAATTCTTAACGACAGAAATCGAAGTCTTCAGCTGAAAAGTGCCTTTGTTTACTTACTTCAACGAAAAATAACATTACATTGATTACGTAGCAATCACTTTTGGACAGTGATTTTGCGATGTTATAAAGTATTAAGAATTAATATGAATATTCTGAGTCATGTACTGTAGGAATTTTAAAAATTAAAATTGGGCGTTTGCCTCAACAGTAGCGGTTACTTGAGTCAACAAATCAAAGGCCTCGAAGAAATGTGATAAACTGATTGTTATACAGCCGACGGTAATCAATTATCTAATCCGCATATAGCCTAGGTAAATGTTCGAAAATTGGAAGAACATTTAATTTACATCTGACCATTTTTTTATCACAATGAAATAAGAAGGGTGTCATTTGGCAGCTAAAAACTTATCTATATTAGTGTGCGAAAAGTATAAATCTATAAACTTAGTATCTATAACGCACGACAACATGTGGAAATTATTTTACCTTTCAGTTTTGATATGCGACCCTGCAATATATATGTTGAAGAGTTTTCGAGATTTCCATCTACAAAAAACCATTCAACATTTAATATCGACTGAGATGCCTGAATTCCTGACATTTACCCATATACCTTACATTGTCATCACGTAGTATGTACTGTATACATGAACTTGTGGTTAAAACTCGACAAGTGGATCCTGTAGCTCAGTTGGTTAGAGCACTGCACCGGAATCGCAGGGCCGCAGGTTCAATTCCTGCTAGAGGGTCTATATAGTTGCATTTTTTGCAGCTGCTCCTGGTTTGGATGTAAGTTCGCATTAATGTGAACATAGTAGCATCACCCACCTTTCATGTAAATATGCATTCTTAATTACATGGCAGACAATGTATCACATTACAAATTTACAAGTTCACTGTTCACATTTTATATTTTAATAGTTGGAGTCAAAACGGAAAACTATATTACGCTCTATCTATATGTTATCGAGCACTCTTTGCGTTTCGTAAACCACATTATTTACGAATATATCTTATATATATACATATAGCTTAAGTTTTTGGTTTACGAAACACAAAGAGTGCTCAATACCATATAGATAGAGCGTAATATAGTTTTCCGTTTTGACTCCAACTATTAAAATATAAAATGTGAACAGTGAACTTGTAAATAAAATAAA